TTGATTCGAGTTTGGAGCTTTCTCAAGAGAAATGCCAGTGGAAGATGTCGGTCCGCTGTTGGTGCCGCACCAGGAGATCAAGTTGATTGAAGTGCCTTTCGAAACGGAACACAAACACAGAACCCCGAAAGAGGGGCTAGGCTTCGCTCTGAGTCTCCGTCTTATGGGAAGATCAAACACAATGTGAAGGGATGCAACGAAAATATTGTCTTTGAGCCTAGACTGAGGGGCAACAGTGTCCTTGCAGCGCCCTAAAACTGTGCAAGACGCAAAACTTCATTGGCCCGCAGCCGCAGGCCACAAGGAGCAGTGCGCAGGCAGAGACACAGTCGAAGCCACAGCAAGAGCACACACTGCCAAGTGGCGATGCTCGACACGAGGATGTTGGTTGTGGTTGGATGTGGAGGATGCTAGACGGAGGACTGAGCGTCGAGGACGGAGGACTGAGGATGGATTGGATGGCCCCCAGCCAAGTTGTGCCAAGTCAGCGTGATCTGCGCAAAGTGACGAGTTTTTAATGAATTTGTTTAACTCAGGTCAGGCCCTGGCACCTAGTATGAGCCATCCATGCCACAGACAGTGTCTCAGTCTCACTGTCTCTGGCTCTGACATTTCACAGTGGTACACAGATCAATATCTCCGCTTCGCTGGAAAATTCCGTACAGAACATTTCAAAATAAGTACAAAGCAGAGATGGACATGGAATTAATTATATCCAAAGCATTATTTTACTCGATTTCTTTAGTCGGATACACCGATGACATTTATGCATAAGTACATATATTCGAACAATAAAATCCATGGTCCACAGGAGCTAAGAAAAGTGTAAAGAAATATCTTCGCAGATTTAAGTCATATGATTTTAGATTCGAAAAGCGAGTTCTTGGATCTTTTTCCTCAGCTAGGAGGACCACTGTGCGGGGCTGGCTGTCTCTTGTTATGTTTGAGTAGAAGTAGACCCCCATCCATGTTGATGGCGCGACGGCAGTTGGCAGTCGCCGCCGTCGAGGTCGCTGCTGCAGTCCCTGGTCCCGGTCCCGGTCCCTGTCCCGGCAAGTGCCAGTGCCTGGCAGTGGCGTTGATGTGGATATGGATGTGGATGTGGATTTGGATGTGGATGTGGATGATGGTGTGGTGCTCAAGTGCTGCGTGGACTAGGATCTGTGTGGAAGCGCTGACGGCCCGTGACGATGTCTCAGAGTGCACTCCTTGCTCCGTTGCTGGGTGCCCTGTGCTGGGTGCAGTCAGTGAGTTCCTGCCTCTTGAGGTCGTCCCAGTCGTAGTCATCAGCTACGACGCCAGCGTCTGGGTCTAGGATGAGTGGTCTGGAATCCAGCAGAGCAAACAAAGGCAGTGAACACTTGAGATCCCTCCAGTTTTTGACTGTCCAGCCTGAGTCGAGCTGTGAGTGGTTTTGGTGTTGTTGTTGTTTTTGGTGTTGGTGTTATAGCGGGGGAACAGTAGGAAAGGGAGAGGGTCTCATGTCCTTCACCGTTCACTTTCGTTGACCAGCGGCAACGTCCACAGATACATTTGCCGCGTTTTTGCCTTCTGCTCTCCGTGTGCTCTGCTCTGCTCTGCTCTGCTCTGCGCTGCTCCCTTATGTCCGACAAAATGTTCCAAATTGTTGCGCACTGCAGGCATGCCAGGAATTTGCGCTTAACAAACTTCGCGAAATGTTTGCAGCGTAGTGGTTTGGTTTGCTTTTCGGTGGTTGCTGCCTGTTGGTTTTTGTCTGAAATTTATACGCGGCCGGCAAATAATTAAAACGAGAGCTGAGCCGACGGAAAGTGTCTCTTTCACTTCCCACATTTGGACAACGAACTCTCCTAACATCAACGAACGGCAAATCAGCAGCAGCTCTAGCTCTGGGGTGCACCATAATAGATCATTTTTCAACGGCTCAACTTTCTGTCAGATATTTGTTTAATTCGATTAGCCTCTGGGGCTGGCGCTGTCCGAACTATAACACGTTGCGACCGCCATCAGTCTGGTCTGGCCTGGCCTGGCCTGGCTCCACCACGTTCCCACCATATAGTATATTGGCAACAGTTCGAGTATATATCTATCTACATATGTACATATCTATGTATGTGTGTATGTATGCATATGAAGTAGAGCCCCGTTCGAAGTGGAGTGGAAGACAAAGCCACAAAAACTTCCAATTTATCATCAAAGCAGACATTAGTTTTACACAAATCCAAACGAAAGCATCACAAAGACAGAGCCACCCGGCTGATTTCATGCCCGAAACGAGCCACAAAAATTAATGTTAATTAATTTGACTTAAACTGACGATTTCAACAGGCACATTACTGCTGGGCATATGGCAAAAAGCAAAAAGCAACAACGACATCGCCATCTCGACATCGACAACGGCCACAGCTCAGCAAATAAATAATACAAAATGAATGAGAGCTGGCCAACTCCGAAGAGCGAAATCCCCAAGCGATGGCGATTGGCAGGGAGGGGAGGGAGACACTCTGTACTCTGTTTCCAATCAAAACCGAATCCGACCTAAAAGCTTTTCAAACACACATCAAACTCTGTGGTTGGTTCGCATAATCAACCTGACAATTGTGCGAGTCTGGCGGAATGGACTCGAATTGATTGAAACACACAAATTGTATGTTTATTTATTGGCAGACAAAAGAGTCGTAACCCATAACCCATAACCACCAAACACCAACTTCAGGCCCCAGCGCCAATACCGATCCATTCCTTTTTGATCTCCGCGTACAGACGCTGGGTATTAATGCTGCAAATTCAATTAGGCTCGAACATGCTCTCACTTTATTAAATTTAACTGCACCCGAAAAATCGTGAGTCAAACCTGGTTACTCTCTCAGTCTCTCTCTCTCTCTCTCCTGATCGCTCTCTCACGCATACACAGAAGAATGCAGCAGCAGCCTCAAGTTGATGTGGCTCCATGCTCCAGCTACAGCTCCAGCTTCAAGTCCGACTCGAACGACTCCAGCGACGCGACGCTACCCATTCCGTTTGCAACGCACATTCGAGCGAGCCTCTGTCCTGTCCTCGAGCCCCAGTAAAAATTCTCTAAGCATGCTGTCAAGTTATGTCTACATTCCTTGATCATATTTTTTCCGACTGTTTTCGTAGCCGCTGCTCCTCACAGCAAGGGGTATATTCTTTTCAAGTGGATTCAGGCTGATCTGATGCTGCGTGGTGCAAAAGAGCAGCCTGAACCCCAAAATTAGGGATCTTTTCAATGCTTAGAATTTCTTCTCCACGATTCACCTTATTTCCACCTTTCAGCAGCTGCTGAGAAATCTGAGTAGCGGGTATTACATAGTCGATCCTTTCAACTTTCGCGTCCTGACTTGTTTTTCCTCTCCTTTCTGGCTTCATTCGTTCACTTCGTTCGCTGCTCGCTCGTTCGTTGGTTCGTTTGTTCCTGCGGGTCTCCTCTGGGCTCCACCAGGCAATGATGATGATGATGATGATAATCCTGATGAGCCATGGTTTTCTATGTCAACTCTGTCTATCTTACAGAATTAGTCAAAACATTTCAGGCCAACAGTTTCTTCACTTGAACTTAAACTGGAGAAAGAAACAAGACGAGATCCTATTTGTGTAATAGAGAAGTTCTAAAATTTTGGATCCAGCGACGGGGACTCTCCACCTACCACTACCTGGATGGATGCCCTGAAAGCGCCTTCTCGGCTTCCCCACTGCCTTATCGTTTGCCTTGCCTCCTCCCTGCCTCCCAGATACCAGATACTCGTTTCCTAATGTGGCGCAGCAAATGTGACGCGTTGAGCATAAAGACAACAACAGCTATGTGCATAGTCTCTCCACCAATTTTTCTCTTTCTCTCAGTGGCAGGCAGCTCGCTCTCGATGCGCTCTCTCTGGCAAATTGAGTGGAACGTGCTCTTAAAACTCACTCTCTTATGAGACCAGGTAATTCTACACGTCCATCCACCTGATCATGTATTTATACATGGTCGCAAGTACATACTTAAATTGTTTTACAGATTTATTTAAATATAGTGAATTTATCTGGTGGATCAGTCATGGAAAGTGGACCATTTAAGTATACTATTCCAGGGGACTCTTTTGATAGCTCGTTCCACCGTTCCAGATCGGTCTCGATTACTGTCGCGCAAATGTGTCGAAAGTATTGCCCCATCTGGGCATTGGCTCTGTATGTGGTGGATGTGGTGTGCTGCACCCATTTCCGGACAGGCTAAGAATGTTTCAAATGGTTCAAATGCTTTCCAAATGCCACTGTTTCATCCCGATTCTTTCCAATTTCTGCAAATCCTGTTCAATTCAATGAAGTGGTCCCCTAGGAGACAAGTGTTTGCGACCGTCGAGTGCCGTCGGGAGACCCGGAAGGCCCTCAGTATGATCCCACACCCACACCCACCCAACGTTGTGGCCAGCTGAAGACAGCTACACAGCTGTGCCAGCTACGGGCACAGAGAGTAAAGAGATATTCTACAAGGGCCTGCGGCGAGCCAATAACAACCTACCGGACCAGTGTCCCTTCCTCAGGGTGAGCTCTAAGTCCTACCTGGTCCATCCAAGACAGCTCTCCGAAACTCATCCTTTAGAACACCATGAAGTAGTCATGCGCCACTTGGAGTTGGACGCGTGCGAGCTGCCACCCTACCTGTACCGAGTACAACGTACAACCTTCACGGGCTGGCTCAACGCGAACAACATCCTCGCTTTTTACATCCTGATCACGGTGGGCTACTGCGAGGCCGAGCAGGATTGCACGGGGCAGAGGGAGCTCTGAAGACTCATCAAATAAAAGAAAAGAGCACACACGCCTCTGACTCAAAGAGCAAGCGCCCCTTACATACCGTTTTACTCACTCAAAACCGGCATTGGAACTGCAAGAGCGGGCGGAGAGCGGGACGCGAAAGAGAGAGAGAGGGAGAGTGACTCTCTGAGCCAGTAAGCGAATGAGCGGCTGGAAATGGTCTTTAACTAAGCCCGGCGAGAGCCCGCCAGCCGTCATTCCTAAAACTCAAAGCGAGCGGTACGCATGCGCGCAGTTCGCAGATCCGTTAGAAGCACTTGCCACCGAACACAGTTGCGATTTATAGAGGTCCCAGTGGCGACACACGGGAACGAGCGCGTCTAAAAATACTACGCGAGAAAGACACATACTGATAAACACCAAAGTGAAGTAAATGAACAGAAAACAGAGAACAGAAAAGAACGAAGCACGGACAAGGAATAAAATATAAAACAAAAAGCAAATAAAGCAGAGGCATAAAAATTCCTCACATCGTTCGGCGCGCACCAACGACAACGGCAACGACGGGGCAGGATCGAATGTGGCGGACAAAAAGCCCGCAAGAGAATACAACGAAATAAAATAAAATAAAAAAGAAAACAAAATAAAGCAAAGTCCAGCGAAGGTGCGAGACAAGAAATTAAATTGATAAAACCTAAGAGCAGACAGGGCCCAGGCCTAGGACTCCGCTCGAGGTAGCCGCAGAGGTAGACGCAGACGCAGACTTGTCGCTGCTGTTTGCTGCAATTATCGGGGCAGCGCATCGCGTCGGGAATGCGCCCTGCGAGAGCGCGCGTGTGTGAGTGAGTGTCCGCGTACGTGACAGTGACCGCCTGAGTGTGTGTGGCAAATAGCTCAAAGCCACGAAATTGCTTCTATCGGTGCGCCGAAATCGCCAATTGGAAAAATTAAACAAAAAGAGAAACTGTTAAACGAGAAGCTGAGAAGAAGGGCAAATCCATCCCACAGAAATATTGACCCCCGGGCCTACATACATACTTACAACTGCTCCCCGCAGCACACACACACACACACACACACAAAGTCAAAGCCATAGTCACAGACTCAAAGACAAACCAAGAAACAGGGAAAATGTACAATAAAAAATTACAGCAAGTGATCGTGCAGAAAATAGATCGATAAACCCGAAAAACGGGGGGAAACCAGCGAAAAATATAAAAATAAATAAGCGAAAGACGATCGCGAGCGATCAAGGAGCCAAGGAGTCACAGCCCAGCCAGATCCAGAGGAGGAGCCGAGAGGAGGAGAGAGTCAGGACAGAGAGTGCTGCTTGAGTTTGCGTTTGCGGCACGTTTTTGTGTTTTTGTTTCAATTTCAATTGTGGAAATCGTAGAGGAAAAATTCGCAATAACCGAACCGGTCCATCTACAGTCCAGAGGGACTCCACAACCAAGCCAAGCCAAGACACAGAACCAGACCCATACCCAGACCCAGAACCGAGAAGAGAAGAGAACCGATATTTATTAAACAAAGACAGAAATTAATTTCACGACTTTGTCGATTGCCACCCGCACTCAACCCATCCTCATCCTCGTCCTCGTCTTCAGAGCAGAACAAGCATCCAGCACTCCGCACCGCCTCCTGCGGACGGCTTCTTTATGCCCATCTTGAACTTTGGGCCAGCTTGTGTTTGAGCGTAGGAGAGCATAGCAGAGAAGGGAAATCGGCGGACAGCAAAATGTACGACATCAAGCACCTGGAAGCCGGACAACATCAGCCACAACCACAGCACCATCCACAGCACCACCCACAGCACCCACTGAGCGACCGCCTGAGCCCAGCACTGAGCGGCTCTGCCACAGTCGAGCAGCAGCTCACCTGCAGCGTCATCGCAGCGCCCTCGACACGCTGCCAGGGCAGGGGGACCAGCAGCCGCAGCCCCATCGAAGCCACCCACATGACGCTACTGACACTGCGGCGTCGTCGCGCCTTCCAGCGCCGTGCCTGCCTCCTGAGCATTCTCGCCGCCTTCGTCTTCGGCATGGCGCTGGGCGTGGTGGTGCCCATGTTCGGCCTTCCGGACTACTTCGCCGGTGGCAGCCACACGCCCGCTTCCCCGCCAGCAGTGCAGCAGCAGCAGCAGCAGCAGCAAGGGGAGATCGAGCGAGTGCAGCGTCCACCCTCGGATTTCCCAAGCATCTACGAGAGCGCAGCTCTGCCGCCCTACAGCGTAGCCTTCATCAAGGGGTCAGGCAAGGGGGCCAGTGCAGAGCTGAGTGCCGAGCAGGTCTTCCGGAACGTGTTCCACCTGGAGCAGGACAAGAACGCACCGGACTCGATGATCGTGAAGAAACTGGATACGAACGACGGCAGCATCAAGGAGTTCCACGTGCAGCGCACATCCAGCGGCCGCTACCGCAAGGGTCCCGAGCGGAGACTGTCAAAAAAGGAGGAGAGGACGCAGTCTGCTCCTGCAACGACGCCCAGCCCCAAGCACTCGCAGGCGGAGAGGGCGGGTCTCATCGAAGCAGACGTCTACTGGGGCTCTGAGGTGGAGCGAGCTCTGCCCAAGGGCTTCGCGGCCGAGGATCAGCGCACCTGGGAGCACTACGTGTCTGGCCAGGGCCAGGTCGTGCGACTAGAGCACGGCTGCGGGCGCATGCAAAACCGCATGGTGGTGTTCGCGGATGGGACACGGGCCTGCGCGCGCTACCGCCAGAACACAGACCAGATCCAGGGCGAGATCTTCAGCTACTATCTCGGCCAACTGCTGAACATCAGCAATCTGGCGCCGAGTGCTGCCACCGTGATCGACACGACGACTCCGGGCTGGGCCGCTGCTCTGGGGGACATCACGCAGGCGCAGTGGAAGGAACGCAGGCCGGTGGTGTTGACGCGCTGGTTAGCGGATCTCGAGCCAGCAGGAATTCCGCAACCCTTTCAGCCGCTCGAGCGGCACCTGAACAAGTACGACGTCTGGAACCTGACGCGGCATCTGCAGCAGACGCGGCCATCCAATTTGGAGCCAGAGTCGGAGTCAAAGTTGGACGCAGTGCCGGGATTACTCAAGCGGCTGGGTGCTGCCACCTCGCAGGGTCCCGCTCATCAATCAAGCATGCTTGAGGAGACGCAATGGCAGGCCCAGTCCCAGTCCCAGTCGGAGTTGCAGCTGGAGTTGGAGTCTGAATCGGAGTCAAAGTCGGCGCTGGTGCAGCGACTAATTGAATTGGCACAATGGTCCGATTTAATCGTCTTCGATTACCTGATCGCGAACCTCGATCGTGTTGTTAATAACTTGTACAACTTTCAATGGAATGCCGACATCATGGCCGCGCCGGCCCACAACCTGGCCCGCCAAGCCAGCTCGCAGCTGCTCGTGTTCCTGGACAACGAGAGCGGGCTGCTGCACGGCTATCGCCTGCTGAAGAAGTACGAGGCATATCACAGCCTCCTGCTGGACAACCTGTGCGTCTTTCGGCGTCCCACCATCGAGGCCCTGCGGCGGCTGCGAGCGGAGGGCGCGGGACGGCCGCTGCGCGAGATCTTCGAGCGCGCAACCAGCGACGGCGTGCGTGACGTGCTGCCCTCGCTGCCGGATAAATCAATCAAGATACTCATGGAGCGCATCGATCGCGTGCTGGGCCAAGTGCACAAGTGCCGGGAGGATCTTAACAAGGGCAGCTAATGAAGGCGACAATCTGGGATCGTCTGGAGTATGGATCGAGATTGAGATAGGGATTGGGATTCGGATTCGGATAGGGATAGGGTTATGTCACGACTGATAAGTTGTAAATATATCCAGCATATAGGAGTGTAGGATGCAGACTCGACCGACCAATCCCATAGTCACAGGAGGATAGAAAGTGCATCCCTGCATCACTGGACACACTGCCTGCTGCCTGAGTATTAGAAGGTGAACACTGCTTTCCACCCATGTAAATGTCCGACTCCTGCGATGAGTATTACGCATATCCATAGATACATACATATGTACATGTATATAGTATGCATGTAGCTATCTGTATAGCATATAGAGTATACATACCTAGCCTTTACAATCGTGTGATATTTGTCTAAGAACTTAGTGGAAACTAATTCAAGATTAAGTAGATTTCATTTTATGTTTACATCGAATAAACCACAAAAAATACAAAACCGAAGGAACCACAGTCTAAATGTCACTTTGAAATATGAAAATGCAATCCCACAGATTCAGATGCGGCCGATACAGCCGTTGCAAATGCAGATTCAGATGGAGATGCAGATGCAGATGCAGATACATGGATACCTGAGCACGCCTGCGCCTTGTGAGAACTTACATAGTCATGACAATAAATTGTCATTGATCTTTTTTGCAGGTGAGATGGAGCTGCCTGCTGCATGCTGCCTGCCCCCACACTTGTCCCCCCCCCTTCGTCTAAGCATTTGTCAACTTGCCGCTGCCTCGCGATGGAACTTGCCACATAATGCAAGCTCCAGCTTCAAATACACACACACACACTGCCACTGCCACTGCCACAGACAGGCAGAATCTTCTTTTGGTTTTCATAATATCTTCATAAGCATTTGAGAAGTGGTCTCCCCCTCTCTCTGTCTCTTTCTCCCACTGTCTCTGTCTCTGGCTCCATCTCTGTCTCGACTCTCTTGAAGCTCAAGTGCAGCCAGCCAGCTACAGAGAAGAATGATGAACACAGAGCCAGAGCCAGAGCCGGAGCCGGAATGAGGCAGAGCCCAGTTCAAGATACTTTCACACAAGCATACGCACACACACACACACTCGCACACACATGGATACACCAATGGATACGAGCACCAGCCAGCCAGCGACTGAGGCCGAGTCTGAGCCAACGTCTCCATCTCTCCGTCCCATGACTGTAATCCCTCTCGATCCCCCTAGCCACCTATCCCACTATCCACCGGCGGCTGTCGCTGTCCCCCTCCCCCTCTGTCCGTGTGTCTGACTTTAAGATTTAAGATCGCTGCTCATTAAGTGCGTCCGCGTGTTCCAGCGACAACGGAGATGCTGAGAATCTTCTTTTCTCTCTCTCTCTTGCTCTTGCTCTTGCCCAGTGTCGGAGTGGTGCCTGCCCCGCTCTCGTATGGCCTTCCCTGTCGCACGATTTGCATCTGATTTCGTTGCGTATATTTTATTGGACACCAGAGTAGTTCACGTAAATAAAAATGAAATGAAGCAAACCAAACCAAAGGCGAGAGTGGCACTGGAAAGGAGCTGGAAGAGAGACGCTGGAGCTGGAGTTCCGCTGTTAGAATGTGGATAGTGAGGCCGCTGCGCTAACTACCAAAAAATGTATCTCGACGGAAAGTTAATCAACTCACGCCTGAGCAGAGCACAGATATTTTGAGAACCCGTTTCGACTCGGCAGATAAAGTATCTCCGACTCTCCGGAGCGAGTCGCGGGGCACAGAGAGTACGCTGCAGGAAAAATCGTTCAGCTAGTTTAATAAATATATCAAATAACCTAAAGACGTGTTAGGGAACTTGTGACTTTAACACGTCTCGTCCTCAGACTTTGCTGCAAAACTCATTTTCGAATATCATTTTACCTTTTCGGTTCACCCTGGGCCCATCCATCCACGCCGCAGCCGTACAATGTATCTTGCAGTAACCTGGCCATGGGCATGGGCCCCATGTTACTCTTGGGGCTCTGCTCTGTTCTGATCTCTCACAAATCACAAAATGAAACCATACGAGTAATAAAACAATATAATTCAGTTGGAGAGATGGAGGAAGAACATAAAATCTAAGAGAGCAACCGGAGACCACTTACAATATGCCTAGTATATGTATCTGCTGCCCACCAACCGAGTCTTTGTTGACTGTTTACAGTTTACAGTTTACACGGTTAACGGCCCAAAACTGCAAACGCCGAGCACCCAAGGGGAATCTTTATGAACTTATTAATAAAATCGAATGAAACGAAAGCACATGGTTTACGACCAGGCAATAAACGACCGAGGGCCACACGGTATTCCCCCACTTACGAGCTATTTCCAACAAATAGTTCATACAATGGATACGAATTTTATGGATTTCTCATATTTCAAAGAGTCATATCCAATGTTCTACGAGTAGAAGGAAGAGAGTTGTTCTTCTTGCCAATTTACTCGTATTTATTGTACATAGCTTCAAAACTATATTTACAAAGGTAAAAGCTGGTAAAAGCTGGTAAAAGCTATCAATTCCATATGTCGCTTTTATGATCTATTTCCAATTGTGTTTGTAACACGCAGCAGGAAGCATTTTTTGACCAGCATCAAAACTCCTGTGAAATCACACTAAATATAGTTTGTATCAAAATGTTGCCACGCCTCTTACCGAACTCACAAAAGGCGAAAATTCTTTTTTGAAGATTTGATTTTGAGACAAATTATAGAGAATTACCATATCTACCAAATTGCTGAACTTCATATAAAATAATATTTGTATGAATTAAAAACATCCATATGTACTAACTGTGTATCGGGTATAAAAGTAGAGCCGCGGCCTTGCCACGTCTCACCACGTTCCCACTCGTTGGACATCAATTAGTGTATTAACTTATTATTTCAGAAAAACTTCTCGATATCGGAATCAATATGTACTCGAGTACACCACAAATCAAGAATATCGGCCAAAGTTTCCTGATGGAATACCGAATACCGAATTCGGCTAATGAAGAAAAAAAAGACATTAAATATATTGTTTAGTCCATAAGTGAAGAACCTTTAGAGTATTTCTCTTTCTCCGCACTGATTTCGACCCCATCTAAATTTCAAGTTCAAATATTTGCAAACTCGTACATGTTTCAGCTTTCTGTTAGCTCCGGCCTAGCCTGGCCTGCCCAATATATCCTTAGCTAGTTTCGAAGCGATCAAGTCGCTTGCTTCAGTTTTTCTGCGCGTTGCTCGCTGTCCGCTGTCCGTGAGCTCTTGGCTCTTGGCTGTTGACTGTTTGTTGGTGGTTGTTGGCATGGTCGCTGTGTGCACAATAATTTGCATATTTGTGTCCAGACACACACATGCACCACACTCAGGCACGGTGGTGCGGGTCTGTAGGGCCCACGTTGTTGCATGCAATATTTTCTCGTGCTGTGTGTTTACTCTTTTCGCTTTTATTTAATGTCCGTGCTGGACTCTGCCTCTCAGCAACTTGTGGCAGTTGGAGAGGTTGCAGCTCTTTCTGTTGCTGCTGTTCCTGCGTTTATAGCAAAAATTCTAAACAAATTGCTTCCGCACCTGCAGCTACGTAAGAAATACTTATGTATGTACGTATGTATGTATGTATAAAAATCAATGCACAATCGACCTGGGATCACGTGGAGATGCACACATAGCCGTATGGATGTTCCCCTTTGTAGGGAATATAATAGAACGCATTGTGCTATGGAGAGGAGCAGCACCTATCCAATATCCACCATCCAGTGTCCACTATCCAGTATCATGATCAAAATAAAACATTTCCCACTCGTGAAAAGAAAGCGCCCAAACCCATGAACAAGCAAGTCGAATCAAACAGAATCATATCAAATCATAATCCTGACAATGGTCAATGCAGCATTCCCAGCTGAAAGGAAGAGTTCTTCCAAACGCATTTCCCCATCGAACCTTACCTTACCTTTTTCCCCTCTATGAAGTGCAACCCTTGGGGCATGAGGGAAATTATCTGGAAAGAGAAAAGAAACAGAAATTTATGGTCGGCACTTTTGGGATCTTATGAAAAAACTTCTTTCATTTTACACCTGAAAAACAGCCAATGACCAGTGGATGGGGAGGGAGGGGGTGAGGGCGAGGAGGTTGAGCGGAGTGGAGAGTGATGCTTAACTGCTTTTCTTGGGAGTCTCTTCTTGTTAACACTGGCTCGGAAAAGAAGAAAGAGATGAAAGGCAAGCCAAGGCTGATACATAGTTCGATAGGCAAACGAGGGCCAGACAGACTCCTCCTCAGACTCAGACTCAGACCTCGGCTCAGATATGATAAGGACGGAACCATTTCCAGCTAAAACATAGCTTTTGATTTTAGTGGCAGTCGCTATCCGAGTCAGGCATTGGGATCGCTCCAAGCTCCAAGCATTTGGATTTGGAAATCATTTAACGATTTTGCTGATTAATTTAACAAAACTGCTCAATGGTTCTGTCGTTTTGACATTGACGAAGTGCCGAAATTTGTCTGGGTCTGTTCTGATCGATCTAACATGGGACTTGTCCATAAAATACTCTCCCTCTCTCTCTCTCTCTATCTCTATCTCTTTCAGGGCCCTCTATCTATTCGAATCTTCTTCGCCAACCTGTTTTCGTTTGTTTGGAATCTTTGTGTCGAGATTCTCTCCTCTCACTCCCTCTCTCGCTCTGGCCCTTGGCCGAATCAGGTGAAGTGAGTTGATTGATTGCGCTAATTTATAACGACAATGGGTCAGATCGCACATGGGACCTTTGAGCTTCATCCGAGAGAGGTACACCAGCAGCAGACCGGCGGACGGACTGGGAGTCGGACCTGGGCTGTTGGAATCCATTAAACATGGCTTTGGTCCAGCTTCTGAGTGTCTGCCTGTCTGCCTGCCTGCCTGGCTGCCTGCCTGCCTGTCTTGCCAGCCCTGATGATGATGATGCCAGCGAGCCGCTGATGAATGAATCTTTTCAATTTTGAAATTTTCAAACAAATTTGTCAAAAACGCACACCAGAGAGCAAGAGAGACAAGCAGATGAACATAGAGGCAGCCAGAGAGAGATGGAGATGCAGCGAGAGTTATGCAAACTAATGAAAGTTCAAAATTGTTGCCCAAGTCTTTTGTTCTTCGGACGTGTTCGGCTATGTTTCAAAAATGTTCCTAGTTAATTGCCCATGATTGAATTATAAATGCACAGACCGCAGAGGGAAAGAGCGAACCGGGGCGACCCTCGCCGAGCTAATGTGCAACATACTCGTAGTACGAAGCCTCGGCTGCCTCGGCTAACCAAATCAGACATGCCTGGCCCCAAATCTAAAGCAATCTTTTGGCTCCACACACAATTTCATAGAAGCGATTCGAATACAATAAATTATGAGCCCTACAAGCTACAAGCTGAACTAGGCTAGGATGGAAAGCGATTCTCGAAACAGAGGGAACCTCCGACCAGGGGCAGGGGAGGGGAGAAGAGATGAGCGCAGAGCTCAGCGTATAGAGAACAGGGAAACGGGAAC